CTGTGTGTGCAGGGGGACAAGGTACGGGCTGGTGTGCAGGTGTGTCTGGCCACGAGCTGGGCTCTGTGCATGAGTGTGTGTAACAGCCTGCCTGCATATATCGCAGAGTCCTTCTGCCCTTACTGGGGGATGCTGCATGTCTGCCCCTTGCAGGGTGGGCATTCATTGCTCTCCTAGTTGCTGTTGGAAATATTTCTGCCTCTGTCTCACTAACGTGTGTGTATGTGCATAGGTGTGTGTGTGTGCACGTGTACTGTGCACATTTGGTTCCTTCAGTCCTGTTGGTGCCTGTGTGAAAAAACATGGTAGAAAGATATAACACCATGGGGGAATGGTTTGTGTGAGATGGTATAATACAGATGAGACAACTTGTTTGAGAAAAAGCTTGGAAAAAATCTGTTGGAAAGATTAGTGAATAGATCTGTCTTTCACTTCTGGATGTGTCTGTTTAAGGCTGCTGCAATGGTACATGTAAAACCCATCTCAGAACATCTGCAATACTCTCCCTGAACACGATGGGCACAGGGAAGGGATGAGGCTGCAGCATGCGCTCTGAATTTGTAGCTGTTCACTGTTTGAACAGATGTTTTTCTTTTTATTAAGAGAGAGTTTTTTAATAATGGAACTGAGCTTTAGTCTTTAACCAGCCATTGATTGATTTTCCATCACCAGACAGGCACAGAGAGACACACAAAAACTTGGTTCGTGCCCTGTTAAGTGGCTTACACGTCTGTGTGTGCACCTGCCTGTCTGCCCGTGCAGACACATGCAGTCACCCTCCCAGCAAGCACACAGCACCCCGAGGGATGCACCAGCCACACAGCTACACACGGCTGCATTTGCACACAACATGAGGTATAAAACAAGATCTCTTAAATTAAGATCAGGTCCTCAGTCTGAGATGGGACGTTGTGAATGTTGCTTGCAGCCCCATCTTTGTGCTTTGCCAGGGCACTTTTCTGAAGATGTGCCAGAAGAGTGCGATGTTTTACATATACCATGTCATATGGCCAGTCATGCCTAGGCTCAGGGAGAGGGACAACAAAAGGATGCAATTTATGCCTTGATTGTGGCTTTTGTCACGTTCATCTAGGTTCTTATGCTCATTTCCATCTTCTGGGGTCATGTCCAATTTGCCTTATTTTCTTCTTTGCAAGTTTAAAAATAGCAGAGAGCAAAAAAAAATAATACTTTTAGCAGTGTCTGGGAGTCAACACAACCTGGGAGCTAGTGACATGTGCAGGCAGTGAGTATGTGCTGAGCCTCTTTAAAGCATAAGGACAAAATCCTCCTTTCCTATCAGCAATGCAGATCTTTTATTTGCACTGTGACAGTCCCTGTGCATGTACCACACTCATGCTATGTGCAAAACTCCCCCTCGCATCCGTGCAGAATGAATGCAGAATATGTAATTGAGATCTGCAGTGCAGGTGGATGATTTCATGGTGCTGGCCCAAGAGGAGACTCAAACCTTACACATCATGGCAGTGTGCATGGAGAGACAGAGAGCTGCATGCGTGCACACATTCACCCCAAATGGATCTGTTTTTCCAGATCAGTCTGTAAGATTGCACTGCTGTCCTTGCTGTCTGCTTTCCCTTCTTGCAGGTTGTCGTTGTGCCTTGTGTGACATGCAGGTGCTTGCGGGAGTGTTTGCTTTTTGAAATGAGTGTGCAACGTGGTGCAGTCAATCTGTCATAGGATTACAGAGACTCGCTCCCTTCCCTCACCTGGTGCTGCATGGGTTGAGTAGAAAACTCCTGCACAACCTTAGGATGGCAGCTATCTGTCTGTCTACCCATAGCTGGGTATGTTTTTATTGGTTTGCTCAGTCTGTGTATGTCCATTACCTGCAGCAGTTAAGCTGAGGAAACACACAACCCTCATCTTCATGTTCAGCTTTAAATAGTGAGGCTATCTGGGGAAAAATACCGTAGAAGAGGAACTAGAGAGGTAAAACATGGGCATATTCTTAGCAAACACAAGCTGAGCATTGCAGAGTTCCACTGTTACCCTTTCTATAGCTATAAAGAAGTGTTGCATACCTAACGGTGGAGTGCTCCTTTTCTCCACGCCTTTCCTCCAGGGCAGTGGATACAATTTTCCTCTTCATGATTTGCCAATCAATCTGGTTCTAGAGGACCGTCCTGTTATCCGTGACAAAGAAGCAAACCCTGAAGTAGTAGCAAGGAAAATAAAGAATTGCCTGGTTTGCAATGGCTTGTAGGGGCAGACTCAGCCTTCTGGTCTGACAGCACCGGTTTTATCATTTCAGGGAGAGGTAGTGGGACTCCTTAAAGATCTGCCAGTCTTTCTTTGTCCATTCTTCTTCTCCCTCCTACTTATTTCCTAGATTGGCACATTTTAAATTTCCTGATATATAAGTGAAAGGACAAAAAAAAGCCTTCTGAGTGACATCTTCTGTTCCATCCCTTCACTGGAAACCAGATCATATAATCCTTCCCATACAGTTAGTAGGCACCTTGTTAAAGTGGATGGCTGGTTTGCCCCCACTACCTCTCTTGGAAGGCTCTTACAGGATCCCTTTCCCCCGGAGGTTAGAAACCTCTTGTTTGAAATTTTAATTTCCTTTCAAAACTAGAGGAACATGTACTGGATAAGAGTAGGGAGGGCCACTCTTTACCCTCTTGGTGACCTCTTAGCATCTTCTTATACACCTCAGAGATATGCAGATTGTATCAAATTCATTGCTAACAGAAAGGTGGGACCCACCAGCACTAGGGGAGGGGCTGTCACTTTCAGGGTAGGGTTGCGGGCTAGGACCCATGCACCTCCACATTAAAACAACATGCAGTTGTGGTTGTTGGTGGACTTGGTGGGCTTCATGTGCTTCTCTGTATGACAGGCTGCTTCCAAACCCTATTGAGGGCTGTAATATGGCATCATGACTTGGGAGGGACTCAGTGAAAGCAAGACCTGGCTCTTTTGTCGTGGCAGGGCCGGAGACATGTTTAGGTGCCATCTGAGATGCAGCTGTGGTCCAACTCTAAACCAGATTTCAAGCTCACGGCTTTCCCAGCAAGGATAAGTGCCCAGGCAGCTCAACCTTGTCTTGTCCAGCCTAGTTGTTTTTATTACATCAAGAATATAATATACAACTGTTAAGTAATTGGAGGTAATTTGTGTTAAGTTTTGTTCCATGAAAAAGGTTGTTATTCATGTGTATTACAGAACATACAGAAATCAGTGTCTGACATCCATTTCCATGTGCCTAGCATACATTTCTACCCCAAATGCAACGTCAGTACAGTCTAGATAGTAGTTATCATTACCTGCCTGTGTAGCATTTCCAGGGAGATCAAAACAGTTGCAAAAGCCAGGCAACTGAGCCCCCAAAATAAAAAATCCTTCCTTGCTCCATGCGCCACAGAGATGGCTTCTATTTAAAACCAGTCCTCACAAAAGAGCACAAATTTTATCCTTGATGCTTGAAGCTCAAGTATTTACACAGGGAATTTAGACTCTTCACTTGTGGTTTTGGCAAAAGCTTCACACAAATGTTTTGCTCTGGTGGTCTCTTAGCCATTTAAGATAAACGACAAAATCAAATGCAGTCCTTGCAGACTGGAGCGCTGGATGCTGTGCCAAGGATGAAGTATCCCCGTTTGCCTCACATGTGTAGCTGTCAGATCAACACGTAGGCCTGGTTTCTGAACCAGGATCCTCGAGGTGGACAGCCTCCCTTCGAAACATTGCTCTTCTAGGGTCGAAGGGAGCACGGGTGAACATATTTCTCCTTGCTGCCATGGTGTTTGCACGTGTATGCAAGGCGTGCATGTGTGCACAGACAGAATCACCACCCTTAGAAAAAAGAAGAGATCATTTGCCAAAAGATACCCCACAATTAGCACATGTATTTCCTGATCTAAACAAAGGGGGAAACTGTGGTTTCTGACCTACCACTGTGCGGTAGCTGTTGGCAAATGCCAGCTTTTTAATGGTGACCAGTCCACCGCATATCTTCATTTATAAACTGCCCTTGATTAGTAGCTCCCCTTTATGTAATAATTAAGTGGAGAGGGCAGTTTTAAATAAATGGGGTGGGATGCAGAGCGGTGCTGTTCTTGCAACTTCCCCCTGAACTCTGCTGATTTCGCGCCAGCCAAAAATGTGGCTCTTACCTGATTCTGCGTGTGCATGTCTGTTTGTGCCTGTCTGTATTTGTGCAGGTGTATATCGATATGTAAGGCTTGTGTTTGAGTTCTCAAAACCACGGAGCTCCGTCTGGACTAGTGCCAGAAGGAGTGCGCGTTTCCAGTGGAGCAGGAGAGAAGTCTAAAGGCAGCTTTGAAATGGCAGGTGATTCCTAGAGGGGTTAAAAATAAATAATACAGCTGGAGGTTACAATATCATTTTTTTAGCTACCAGGAAAAAAAAAGGTTGCTCCATTCTTCGCAGGCTCGACAGGGAAGCGGACTGCATAATGGGGGCATGCAAAATGCACAACTGGCTGTGGCTCAGGCGGGCGGGCAGCACAGTGGCCCGTGAATGCCTCATTCTGGGAGCTCGGCTCCTGGCACCCCTCCGAAGCCATTTGAGCTCCAAGTCACTGCACTTTGTCTGCGCTGGTGTGTCAAGCCCGCTTCAGCAGCGGCTCGGCAGAGAGCCTGCCCGGTTTTGTGTCAGCTAAATGCATTAACACAGCCGTAAAACAATAATCCCCCTTTTGATTCGGTCCCTGAGCAAGTGCTGGTGGCGACGCTCGCCGCCTCTGGCTCTCCTCTGCACCAGGACCAGCCGTGCCCCTGCTTTGCCCCTCTCTGTGCCCCCAGCCGGGCTTGCAGGGCCCCCAGGTCCCTTCTTGCTCTTCCCCAGCCCAACGCGAGCCCCAAGGGCTCCTTCCCCAGGGAGCAGTGCAGAGCAAGCGCGTAGTGCATTAGGCAGCCAGCCCCCGCCTCACCCGTTCCCCCTGATGATGCCTCCTCTGTCCCTTCAAACTTAGGTCCGACTGACAGTTTTTTCTATTGTTTTTTCTCCAGGGCCGTCCAGGCCTGCAAACCTGCCGGGGGCTCCCATAGCTGCCTCCTCCCACCCTCACACATCCGTCATCACGTCACCTCTCCGCGCACTGGCCTCTCTCCCGCCCTGCCTTAGCCTGCCCTGCTGTGGTGCACGTGCAGTCTCAGTTGGCGGGACTCAGACTGAGATTCAGACTGAGACGTCAGGCACATTTGGATGTCATTGTCAGTTGTCAGGTAATAGAAACATTTTTTTTTTTTGTTGCTATCTGAAGGTCAGTAGTGCTGCCAAGTGATGTCATCTTTGCTGTGGGAGAGCTGCCTTCCCTGGGTTATGTGGGGAAGGCAGTGAAAATGTCCCAAACACCCCCTGCCCTCCCTCCTGCCCCTCTCCCCGTGCTGGCAGAGGATGGGGAGTGGGAAGGGGTGTGTGGCTCCCTCCTCCCTCCATCCTTCCCCTCCTGCCTGCCCACCTTCAGATGTCACCAGCGGCCGCTGCCGGGCCGTTTGTGCCACGTTGTGAACAAATGTCTGAGACTCCTCGCAGAATGTGATACCCTGGTATCAAGATTTCATCTCTCTGGGCTGTTTATTTTAAGCTTAATTGGATAACATTTAACATCTGAGGTCTCCCCCTTCCCCCCCCCCCTTTTTTTTTTCCCTAATCATTCGTATTAAAGGCTTTTCTCTGAGCCCATGTGCACGCAGGATGTATGTGCTCCATGCAGTTTTCTCCCTTGCTTTGAGAAAATGCTCCTTGGTAACTTGCCACACATCTCTCCCCTCTCCCCCAGCAGCTTTTTTTTCCTTTATTCCTTTTGGATGCCTGACTTTTGTCACTGTGAGGAGGGGAAAGTGATGTGGAAATGAGGGCACGCTGAGCTAGCCCAAGAGGACACGGCCATACGGTTGCCAGACCCCATCCTTTCAGACCCAGCGATCTCTTTGAAATCAGTGGGTGTTTCTGAGTGTGGCTCAGTTGCAAGATTGGGGCTGTGGTGAACTGCAGGCTGGAGAGGTGAAAATAGGGGGGTGGGTGGGGGGCTTAAAAGAAAATACAGCTGTGGTGAAATCCGCATGCACTTATGGTGGAGTCCAGCTGTGGTGGGCCAGATCCTGCAGCCCTCATTCACGCTAATGCATGTGGAGCTTTAATAGGGAGCTCCCAGAATGGTGCTGGATAAGTAATGTGTGAGGACATTAGAGACAGCAAGGACTGTGATGAGTAAAGCCCTTGGCCTGTGGCTCCTCCTGCCCCCCTAAAGTAGCAAAAGTTAGCTCTGGTCAATGTTTTCTTTACATTAACAGTGGTACTACAGCAGCGTGCTCTATCTCATGAGAAGGTCCCTGCACATCTCAATTTGTGGACCCCAGGTGAAGCTCGTGGTGCTCGAGGAAGGCTCCCAAGCCTCCTGTCTGGGCTCAGCCTGTGCCCAGCTGCTTGTGCTGGGCTTGCAGCAATGCGTGACGCCCCTGGACCTGGTGTGATTTCTCATCCATGCTACCATATGCAGCATGGTGGGATGCTATTCTCACTGAGCTCTGCTTTTCTGACCTTATCAGGCTGACTAGCTGGCCTCAAACGGTGTGGAGATGGGCTTCTGAGTGGTGAATGCTGAATGAGAAAATCATATAGGTGCCCCGCTTCCCCCCCTTTCCCAGCTGGTAAAGCAAACTAGAACTGATCTCCTTTTTCCTGCTGTCTTTACCAACACAGGATGCACGCAGGTGCCTTTGGTAGGCAGGTAGCTGTAAGAGCAAACTGGATGCCCTGGTTCCCCATTGCTCCTGATGCCAACAGCCGGTGGGGAGGGAAGGAAGCAAAACTAAAAAGGAAGGAAGGAATGTCTGATTAAAGGAGGTGGGAGAGCGATGCTTTGGTGTGTTACATACTTTCATTTCTCGCTTTAGAGTTGTGCAGGGCCAGTTTTCAGAGTGGTGTGTTTGCTGGGAGAAGGATGCCAGCTCTGCGGAGAGAGAGACCTGTTATCATGGCTTCCTGTAATTACTGCTGCAGTCTGTGGCACTTAGAGAATAGGTTATATCAAAGTGCATGATACATGTTTATGACAGTAGTTGGTCAAGCTCTGCTTGAAAGAAGCATTTTCTTCCCTTGAAAAGGAGATTATATCTGTTTAACCCTTTCTTAGCTCCCTTAGTAAATGAGCCTGGGCATGCTTTAAACCCTGTAGCAGGAGTCGCAGGATCTTTCTTGCGCTCAAAATGTTTTTGTGGAAATGAAAGAAAAGTGAGTTCTTTGTGTTGACTAATAATCTAGTGATGATCCCTGCATTGTGCCCTCTTTTTTAATATAGCCATTTACAATAGTCACTTGCTACAGCTTTAGAGATCTGCTTGTCTCTCTGACTTGATTAGCCTTTTATTCTGTCAGCTCCGTTCTTGCTTCTGAGGAATTGTTTCCTTCTTTGAACAAAAGCCATCAACAGTTCCCGCCTCTTCTCCTCCTTCATCATTTCTTACCTTTCCTGTTTTTCAGCATTCATTTAATGCAGGACCTGGAGTTTTTCAATGCAGTTCTCAAGCAGGCTGCGACCCTGAAGGCTGGAAGTTGCAGGTACTCCCAGACCTCTGTGAGGCACTACCAGATCAGGCCCAGCAGTTTTGCGTTGGGGATCCCAACCTGCTGGGTTTGGGGTCTGAAGGTGGAAGAGTTGTGTTTGTAAATCTTGGACCTAGATAGGAGCGATTGCCTAGACAGCCGAGTAGCATTTAGCTGTGCAGATGGGAAGCCCTCTGCCTCGTCCAGAGCAGTTTGTGATTTGTAGGAAATGTGCTGCTGATAACAGCTTCGATCACAGCAAATGATGCTGGGAAGTCCGCTTGGTTTCCAGCACCTCTCCTGACAGTGCAGTCCCTCCTGTCTTTGTTCCTTTCTTTGTGTTCAAGGCACCGCAGGGTGAGGAATGTGCAGGTGAAGGTCTATGTTTTTTTCTATGCGATTTTTTAAAATATCTGCCACTGGAAAAGTCTCTCTCCCTGTCTCTTTATTTATTTATTTATTTTTGCCTCAGAGGCTTCTGTCTGCTGAATTGGGTTCTCCTGTTTAAATGTTTTTAGTGCCTATTTAATTAGAAGTTGGAATAGAGTCATGAAATTCACAGGGTTGTGTAGCTTGGATCTAAAATATAAATGGGCAAAGCATTCATTTTGCTTTACCCCTTGCCAGATTAGGGTGCTTTTCTGAGCCTGCTTTTTATTTCATTTCAATGAATTGCAACTGCTTAGAGTAACTGTAAAATGCACACAGGTTTTTCTGCATAACAGAGACATGCAAATGATTGTTGAGAGACGTAATTATGTAAAGAAAAGTATATGCCTGTATGCATACACACATACACTACAATGCTTTTTGTGGGGCTCTTTTTTCACAATACATCTTCATAAGGCTCTTTTTATGATGCTGATTTATTAATACTGTACATTAAGTCTTAAATTGTCAAAGCTGCCTAAGAGATTTGGATGCCCATTTCCCATTAAAGTTAACGAGAAACGAGCTTTGAAAATCTCAGCACAGAAGTGCATGGCACTTTACAATGTGCTCTCCAAAGAGAAAAGTCCCTGCCCTGAAGATCCTACCGTGTAAAAGCCCCAGGAAAGGAACTCTGATCGGTGTAAGACAAAGTGGATTGCAGTGCCACAGACAATAATTTATCCCTTCTGCCTGCGTTCAGATACAAACCTGATCCAAAGTCTTTGGACCTGGGCCCATGAGCGAGGGTTTTATATATCTCTGTAAAGATAATTAAATCTGCCCAGTACACATATATTCAGCCAACCAGCGAAACTGCTTGCTTCCCACATGTAGGCTGATGGAAGGAGGTGGAAAGCAATTATGATACTTAGTTGCATATATAAAAACAGCAAGCGGGCATGGACAGCAGTGATTAATGGACAGGGCTGTGAAGCTGAAGGGCTAAAACAGGGGAAGGCATGGGGCCATAGCTCAGAAGAGTGGAACAAGCTCCTTTTAATTCAAGGAATCAGCTGTGTTAGTCATTAGGACATTCTGAAAATCACACGGTCATCTTGTAAAGTTAATATCAATTTACTTGGCTGCTGAAATTCTACTTACTGCATCATTTCTGTTTTCTTAGCAAAGGTTAAGGTGGCAATAAAGATAAAAGAAGTACCTGCGAGTAAATAATAGGTTTTAAAAGAATGTTTTTTCCTTCTTCAAGTACATCACAGTATTCATTTTGTGCTGGTTTTATAACTGGAATCAACCAATAAGAAGAGCTAGATTAGACCACCCTGCTGTAAAAAGCTTGCTGCAATTAATACAGGCTGTCTAGAAAGCAGTATTATTTCAAAAACTTTTATGTTAATGATATGGTATGTGCTCGGCACATTTCTTACTAGAACAAGAAGCAAGCTTTTGTTCACTCCAGACTGGGTTTTATTAACACAGGAGGATCAATGGAAAACAAAACAGTAATCAGAGCAGAGAATGCAAACTCATCCAGCAAAAACCTCCCAACTCATCAAGTCCCAGGACGATGGCTGATACATTACTCCTAATTTTTTTGCTGAGTGGAATCTTAAAAAAAAAAATATAAAAAATAATCCAGTAAGACTCAAATTCTGATCAGCTTATGGTGCTTTTTTGAGAGGAGAAAGACATATTTTGGGTATATGGTTCAGAGGGCAGACAAAGACTGAAGGCAGCTTCCCTGACACCCTTTAAAAACGTATTTTTTCATTTTCTTCCACAAAGAAAAGGTTTGCTTAAAGTACCTGGCTAATATTCAGGAGAGGTGCCCTATTAGTCATGGTTACATGTATTTATTTATTTTAGTGAAATATTTAGTGCGTGCTATAGTAGAATTGACATTGTGCACAGTACTTACAGAGTGCAGGGCTGTGTGAGAGATGTATGTGCTAAAAACAGATATGCATCAGTTTGTATGTATGCATTTATCTTTTCATCTATCTATCAATCTCTGTGTTCATCCATCTATCCAAGTATTAAAATCATATGTGACCTGTCTGTCTGCGCAGCTCTCTTTCTCACCAGATATTAAACTCAGATCTAAACTCAAAAGAGATGTAGCTAATTGCAAACTTATATATTTTGACTGGATGGTGTGTTTGCCAAGAGGTAACGAAGGTATCTTAACAGAGCAAAGAGGCAGCTAAAATTAGGGTGCTGCATGGGGCAGCAGCACTGGCAATTTACGTGTGGCTGAGGCTTTGTTCTAGACAGGCGCCCTATCACTCTAACTTTGTAAGTCCTAATTACCTAAAGTTAAGAACCAGCAGGGGCAATAGAGATATTTAAAGGTGCTTTAAAGTGGATGCCTGCAATTTCCAGACAACCAAGGAAAATGAAAAGCTCTTAATTGCAATATTAACGGGTGGAACTGAATCTTGTAGTCTCAAGACAAAAGGGTGCAAGAAACATTGCCTGCAGTAAAGACAATGGGTCCAACATTTAGAGAGTTAACTCGATCGCATACCACTATGCTGAGCCCAAGAGTCTGAACTCTTCAAACGCTCCAAATGGAGAGCTAAATCAAAGAATCCTGTTTCAAATCCATCCAAGATGTTGCTGTTTTTCTCCTCTGACAGGAGAAGCATTTGGAAGTGCAGTTTCTTTCTTTTTTTATAGCTGTCTTAAAAAGGAGTTTGGATGTTTAGCACAGCTGGTGCTCATTACATTATGCACTATCAATAAAATAGCATGTGTAATTAATTTTTAATGCAGTGCTGTATGCAGCGCTTTAAAGCAGTTACTGTATGGGGAGAGCCGACACCGGTCACTGACATCAGAAATATTGAAATAGAGGGCTAGATTTTGCATTTTTAAAGGGTGTATGCACAAGCTGGGGGAAGGGTAATTTCCAGCCAGCAGTTCTTTGGCCACAATCAAATTTTAAAAATACAGGAACAAGATGGATGAAGGTGCTCTTATAATTTACTTATTGATATGGATGAATTTATTTCCTTTTAGAGTTTGCTGAGGGATGACTGGGTTAGGACTAGGTGACTTTGTTGTCTAGGTAAGCACCAGGGAACTACGCAGCAACTGATCCATCTTTGTTACAGCTCAAATGTGCTTCATTGGTATCAGGTGGGAGGTGAGGTGAAAGGTGAGGTTGGGAGAAAGCCAAGGATGGACATTTCTGGTCTCTCTCACTGAGCAGTTATTTTTACAGGGCTCCTTTCTTGTGCCTTGTCATTCACATCAGTAATAACACCCTGTTTTTCCTCTTGATTCATGAAATATTTGAGAGTATCAGTACTTTACAAGGGAGAGAGTAGTTTGGTTACAAAGAGGCACCGCTGATGGCAGGTTGCCTGCTACTCTGACAGAAGACCCAAACAAATCAGAGTCTTCTCTTTTCTTGGCACTTGTGCAGTACTTTCCAGAAAACACCAGCATAAATAAAGACTACTCTAATGGGGCACAGTAGGCAAGGCTCAGGCACTGCCATGGCTATCAACAGCCAATACATCCAGAAACACCTCAGCTGTCTGAAGGAAGAACAGACCTGGCTTTGAAGTTGTGGTACGATGCATCTTTGTACTCAGCAAATGGCGAGGAATCGCTTTTGTGTTTGGTGGGTGGTTTGCTGGATAGGACCAGCCTCTCCCTGCTGCCACCTCTTTTCCACCCTTTTCAGGGAGTTGTCTGTGTGTCTCTTGGTGAGCACTTCTGAAGAAGATAAGAAATCAAATGCAGGAAGAGAAGGAAGGAAGCAATCACCTACAAAGCGACAAAATTAGGGGTAGTGTTTGTCAGGTGTCTTGCCTTTTGGTTGGGCAAGCTTTCTAAGAGATTTTTTGTTTCATACACATGTATGAGGCATAAATGTTTGCAATTATTCTTTCTTTTCCTCAGTAAATTGCCATTTACTTGTACATAGCATATGCTAAACAGTTCACTTGTACAGCCTCACCTGGCATATTCAGGATGGAGTCTTCTTCTGCCCATTCTGCAGTAGATTTTTGTCATCACTTCTCCTCTCTTTCTGTCAGATACATGTGGATGTTTTTGTGTATTTGTCTGTGCCAGGAAGTGAACTGGGCTGTTCTGTTTGTGTGCACAGAGACAGAACTCTTGTGAACAAATATAATGCTCTGTGTCAATGAAAGTAGGGCAAGCAGTAGTGTATGGTGTAGGTAGCTGTGATGAGGACTGCTCTTCAGTTCACAAGCCAGAGTAGGAAAGGTAGAAGCAAGAGTGGGCCATTACACATTTTGCAGTGAAATGGCTATATTTTATGTTATTTATTTATTTATTTATTTATTTTTATAGAGGGACTGGATCATGCATTTCTGGTGTGGTTCAGGTTTAGGACAGAGAATGGTTCTGCAAAGAAGTTATTCCTGTCCCTCCAGAGCTGCCTCATTTAGACGACCTGGGTCCTTTTTTCCTTTTCTGAGTGCTTCATAAAAATAGACGAAAAGAAGAGTTCTGTTCTCAGATGAGACTCTTTATGTTCAGAGGGAGATTTGAGTCAAAGAAGCCATGCTGGTGCATCTCGTGTGCACCCCACTGGACTCCTCTGTGCTGCATGTTGGTCCTCCTTTCTGCTGAGCAGTAAACAGCTGAGCAACTGTTGGCAACATACGTTTTTCTGCTGTTTGCTTTCTTTTGGACAGGGTTTTTCCAAGCATTTTTGTAGCATGTACAGGAATCTGGTAGGCTAAAGCATAACATGTGCCTTTGCTATCTTTTTTTTTTTTCCCTCTTGTTTTTTTCTTAATCAATCCATTTCCATGGGTGCCTATTGTAGCTAATGCAACCTGCTGTAGCACAAGCTGGGGAAGCCAGGTTCAATGAGTCAGAAAAACATGCACTTGGAAAGAAGCAGGCAAAAATCCCACATAGTGAGGGCTTACATTTTTTATGAATTCAGCTGTAAGAGTCAGAGGTCCTGGGACTTATAGAATGAGGTTAATGCAGGCACTAAGCAAGGCAGTGGGGAGAAGCAGGCACTGGAATCATGCCACGAAACAATGCTTTTTAAATTATTGTGTGTGCTAATAACGTAAGGACTGCCAGTTAGAGGGAGACCAGTTTGTACAGCATACCTGCAGCCATTATGCTTGTTTAAATGTCACTTGGCTATTTGGAGCCAATTGTCCATGCATTGTGATCAGTCCATCCCCTGGAAATGGGAGGAGAGCACCCCATCTTCTTCGTGTGTCAGACTGTCTTCTTACATCTCCTGTATTGACCTAGATTATTTCACGTGAGGCCCTGATCTAAAACTGATCTTTACATCTCCTCCTTGGCTGCGTGACGAACACGATGCTTCCAGGGCACACTGTAGCGAGCCAGGGGTCCACTGAGGGTTGGGCTAGGGACTGCTGTGGCATGCGGGATGCTTAGCTGAGCATCTTTCCAGGAGGCATTTTCTGAGGTCAGTGTTGTTGTACCGTTACGCCAGCAGTGAATCTGGGCTACGGAATTCAGGAAACTACAGAGAATTGAGTGAGAATCAGAGCATTTTTGGGAAACAAGTACCGTTTAAAAGTGATCATGGGATTAAGGTGAAAAAACAAAAATTAATGGAATGTAGATAGACCTCAGCATGGCAGTAAAGCCCTTTGCCTGTGGGGGAAGTATTTTTTCCATTTTGGATCTTCTAAAGGAAATTTGGGGTATTCTCTCCTCTGGTTGAACAGGGAGAGAGTAAATTCAATTATTATGGCAGAGGCAGGTTTAAAATGCAAAGACTGTCCAGAAATTAGGTCTGAGTGTTTACGGATTGATTAATCTAAATCCTTTATAAAAATGTGTGAACTGTTGATTAAACTGGGAATAGGATCATTGTGGTTTTGCCTACGGTCAGGACAAGATTACTGAGTAACTTTACCTTTCTGCCAAACCTTATAAAATATAATAAAAAAGTTAAGTCCTTTCCCTATTTTTTTTTGTTTGTTTCTCCTCAAACTGATTGTAGAAGTCAATATAGTCTTCAAAACTCTCTAGCTTATTGAAGCCAAACCCTGCTGTAATCAGTAGATACATCGAATAGTTGTGAAATAATCCCGAGAAATGGCTGTGAACTCCCCCCAGTTTCCTTCGTACTTTCTCTGCGCGTTTTCCAGAAGGAGCAGCGTGAAAGCTACAGCGGTGCTTGCCCCTGCTTCCACCACCACTGTCAAAGTTCATTAGCGCACTCGAGTGCACTCATAAATGTCTGAGCTCTTCCAGTGTTCGGAGGCTTCCAGCCAGCAAACCTTCCGACCTGCTCTCCCTGTTTTGAAGAAAAACTCAATGGTCAGGGTTGGAGGTGGGCACTTGAGGTTTAATTTAAATTCTTTGGCCCGATAACACCCAGATCCATAAGGGAGTGTAAGGGTGTGTGGGAGACACTGCCATCACTGCCTTAAATAATTTGCTCCTTGCCCTTTCCTGTTAAGTTTGCCAGGCTACGCCTTGTGATTTCAAGCTGGGATTTCTTAAATTTATTTTATTGTATAAAGGTAAAACTGGGCAAATACCGGCATTCCCTCCTCACTTTCTTTTCCTTTGCAGATGTCTTTGCTCCCAAGGGCCAGTGGGGCTGCCAGGAGGGGTTGCCTAGGGGCTGGCAGTGCCCCGGGTTAGCTCTGCTCCTCTCCTGGCAGCGTGCAGCGTTCGGCTCCCTCCCAGCAAATCCCAGTGAGTCACCAGCCCGCTGGCTGGGCTATCTGATGGGAACAGGGACCGGGCTGCTCTGCCCACGGCCGCCCCAGCCACAGAGCTTCTCCTTGGCCGCACCTTTCCCTTCCCCTGCTCTGTCCTCCCAGCCTTTTGTGCCTCTTTCCTTCGTAACACAGCTTTTCAGCCTTGCCGTCAGGTAGGTCCTTCATTCACCGCTGCCTCTGCCACTGGGCCCTGCAGTAATAATGACAGCATTTTTTTTTTTAAATTTCCTTTTAAAAATCAAGTCCAACTTTTTTTTTTTTTTTTTTTTTTTTTTTTTTTAATGGAAATGACTGCTGAAAGTAAACACAGCTTGCAACATGCAGACTTATTGGGCCAGCATGAATTTCCTTAATAAGCTGGGGCATGCGTGTGTACGCGCGTGTGTGTTTTCCCCCCTTAAACCACGGAATAAGTGTGCTGTCGCTTTAAATCCTAACTCAAACTTTACTGGCGATTTTACAGAGCCTGGTTTCATTTATAGTGGAGCCAGACTTGCTGTGTGAGAGCCGTCCGCATGCTGGAATTAGTCTTAAGCTCGCTTCTGTGGCGTTGCCAAATTCCATGTTTGTGTTTTATTTAGAATTCTTTTCACGGCCAGTCGAATCTGTTCAGGCACACATAGGCAGTGTTGCGCCCCATGGAGAAAATAAGCAAGTTTGCGTTTTCTTTGGCATAGGCCATGGCCACAAAAGACTGCGGTCTAAAAAAACATTTTTTAAAAGCTATTTTAACCCATAACAGATGTATAAAGTAGGCACACGCATGCCAGCTTCCTTAGTTTTAATTAAAAAATAATTACGGCTTTAATGGGATGCTAGTGACAAATTTGGATGAATGGTGGGTGACATTATCTCAAGGCTTGCTTCAACTTATAAATTAGTGCATTTCTCTTGGCCAGTGGTACAGATGAAATTAAAAGAAGGAACAGATTAATATTTCTTAAAGTTACATCGAACCAAATGAAAAATCAAATCAAATCTAAGAACAAGGCCCTTTCCTCCCTCGCTTACTCGGATTCCTGTTTGCATGAGATCACAGAACATGGAAGAAAGGTTATTTTCCCTGGCTGATAAATGATCTGGCCGATGATAAAGCAGGCTCAGTTTTGCAAGGTACCTGTCCCTCCCGTAATTTCACATTGGTAGCCACATCTCCAAACTATTGTGATTAATGTCAGCAGGCGCTTCTATTTATAACCACGTCTAACTAGCTAACGTGGTACCTCCGAGCCAGGAAATCTTAAATATAAAACCATACGTACATGCTGTATGTTGCAATGGTTCTCCCTAAATACCTCAGCTAGCTGGCTGCCTTTTGGACTGCGGTGCTGTGATTCTTCACATCTTTAGGCTATTTTCAATTTGGGGCTTTTAAAGCTCACCAGAACTGGGCTGGATGCACAGGTATGTGCAGGTAACAACAGTTTATATTTATGAAGAAGTAAACAAAGGGGCAATAAACATGTAACGAGCTAACCCCAGATGGTATCTCTGCTGTTATTGCAGTCAGGTGTATGCAGAGCAGGGAAGGGAGAGGGAAGGATTAGCCTGGGAGGCTGTGGTATCTGGAGCTGTTCGTTCCACCACTGCGTGTGCCAGGGGCTGGCTTTTTGGAGGTAGGCAGTTGATGGGCTTTGTGATCTATTGCACAGACAGACGAGGATCATTGTGCATGTGGAAGGCCAAGCCCTGCGTGCCATTCAAACATATTCCTTCACAAAACTTCTCATCTGCTTAACATTTAGCCTCCATTATAACAGACCCTAAAGTGCTGCTGATACATGTAATCTAGATGGTGAGAGCTCTTCTCCACTTAGTTGCTGTGACAAACATAGTACATCGCCTCCTCGTTAAAAAACAAAAGCATTTTCTCCATGTGGAAGGAAAGACAAAGAAAGCAAGCATCATATCTTTGGTGTGTAGCTGCACACCTTCTGCTAGACTCGTCCACATTCATCTTGAAGTCTACAGATGCTTTGCTACGAATTCCCATGTGAATATGGCAGTGTCCCCCATCTTGCTTGCTGAAAGCTGTCTGCCACGTTAAGCCAGAGAAACCCAGCATGGGGAAGCTGCTTTGCTTGGTACAAGCTAGTCTGGAGAATTTTGCTCATCATCAGGTCCCCTGAGTGTGCAGGATGTCCATTGCCTGAAGCTGAACCACACTGGACTCTCCAAAGATATGTTTTTTAAGGTTAGTTTAACTGCAGCAAGAGAGGGAGAGATTTTCCTTTGTCAATTGTCTGAGTACTTCTGTGGTAACATTTCCCTGAGCTTGAATTCCTTAGAAGTGAAAATGAAGTTCTAGCATTAAAACCATGAGTCATACAGTGCAGATGAGAGTCATTTCTGCATTCCTGGAATTTTTGGAAGGGAAACATTACATTCACGTTAATCCTTTCAATTATACCTTATTGCTAAAATAATCCATGAGGCATTCTGCAGTAGAGCCCTCTGCTATTTGGTTACAGTTGAGGCTTTGAAAATAGCACCTGAAAGCTTTTAGGCTCCTGTGTTTCAGTATCTTATTTTTCTTTTTATGTTTCAGCACACAGAATGGTCTGGTGTCTTTTCTATTTACTCCTTAGGATTTTTTTTTTGTTGTTTAATAAATAAGGCTAATTTGATTTGTTCTGATCTGTCTCGAGTATCTAACTGCTGCTGTAGAGAATGATTAATGTCCAGTTGAAAGGATTCCACATCTATAAATGAGAATTGAAAGCAGATGTTGGTTTGATGAACGTGTGCTGCCCATTCCTTGTCTGCACTGGCTCAGAGAGCAGGCTGCTGAGATATCGCTATCTATCAAAAGAGAGATGTTAGATGCCAAATACAGTTCAGAGTCACACACCTAGCATGAGCTGAGTGAACAGTTAACAAATAATGTATTCCAGGTATTTTTTTTTCTCTGCTTGTGAGCTATCTATACACAAGACAGTGTTATCCTCAAATTGTCAGAAGTGCTTGACAAACTCCAGTTCAGGGAAATACACTGTGAATTGATTACAACCAGGACTCTGAGTCTGGGTTTTTACTCACCACGCTGTGTTGGTATGTTGTCCAAGGGCAGGTAAGTTCAGTTTCTAGTGCTATTGCATGTGAAGTTCTGATTCTGAAGATTCTGAAGCTAATCCAACCCTTTAAAAAAAAAAAAAAAAAAAAAAAAAAAAAAGCTGGTACAGTTCCTGGTACAGTTCTCTTTTATATTAGTGGACTGGCTAGGTGCTCAAGCATTGCTGGCAAGCAAGGCCAAATGCTTTTCAAAGTTTTCTAGCTTGAGTTCATGAAGATCTGTGGAGAGCATGCAGGGAAAGAGCAAAAGACCAAATTGCCTGGGCACAAGATCAGCTTTTGCAGCATTCAGCCAACTTTGTTGTACACCTGCACACAATAAGGGCAACAGCTTTTTAGATAAAAGGTACAAACAGGACTGTTTCACGTGGGCTCCTCAGTTTGGTAATGCATGATGCTTTACAGTCTTTTCACAAGCAGTGCTCTCCTGGTTATCAGAGTATGCCTTCCCAACCAGTGTGTAACAGTAGTTCAGCAGCCAGTGCATGTTAAAGTTCAGAAATTTTGGCCATGGGCAGGCATTTCTGATAATGGCAGTAGGATTGCCAGTGTTTCATACAAACATAGAGTACTTGTTTTTTAAAGCCTCTTTTAAAAATCTTTCCTGGACTTTTTAAAAATATTCTCCAGTATTACAGCAAACCAAAGAGAAAAAATAGTTTGCTTAACACATTTTGTCACTTTGATTTTTTTTTTTTAATTTTGTGAAATGTCCTTTTCATTTTTATTTTATGTTTAATTACCATTCATATAATTCCTATGGCTAGAAGCTATTTCACAGATGGACAGACAGAGATGTAAAGCCCAACACAAATCTTCCTTGCTGTCTATAAATCAGGCTGATTTGGGATGCCTCTGTGTCACAGGAGAGAGAAGGAAAGAGAGAGGAGAGGAGATGAAGTATAAAAGGGATTCGGAGAGGACTTGGAGTCATGGAAAAGGATAGGTACCAGCATCCCAGAGCTCTGATTACACAGGGTTTCTGTTCTGTCGTGATGTAAAAACTACAGTAAGGAAAAATACTTCCAGTGTGACCTTCCACTTCCCTGGTACCTGAATAGGACTGTAATACAGCAGGCAGCTGAGAATGGGAGAGGTTGGTTTTACATTTATTTGTCTTCTCCATTTGGGAAGTAACTATAATGATGTTCATTTCAAGTGTAATTATTTCTTGAAATCCTTTTTTTTTTTTTTTTTTTTTTTTTTCCACAGCTGGTGCTAAACTAAGCAGCTAGATTTTCTCCATTAAAGTAACCACACTTTACTGGGGTAAAACCTGGACTTCTAGATTGCTTCTAATAATTTTTCCTGACCTGTGCCTATCTGTGCTATAAAATCAACAGTACCCAACTGATATGCTGTGATTGGAGATCTGAAAGTGGACCAAAAGAAAATATATGGCTGCTCTCTCCCTACCAGGTCATACATTCAGGTTATAAAAAAAAACCAACAAAACCTGCCTTTTGTCTTGCACTTTTTTTTTTTTTTTTTTTTTTTTTTTTTTCCCCACTCTCTCCTTAGCTTTCTTTTCTTGAAGTGCAGAAAAGTATTGATGTGAACATGACTATTCTATATGATGCTAGTGAGATACTTGTATTTATGTGTCTGATAGTGTCACTGTTCAGTCTGCAGTGCATGGTAAAATTCATTTCTGTGGGTGGGAGCCAGGACTTCACCTTCAAGCGATGGGATACAGCTGGCAGTGCAGTCAGCAGTATCTGTTGCAGTGTCTCTTGATGTGGTCTCATGGACGGTTGTTGCTACATCCTTGCTTGGGCATAAGAGAAAATGTCCTTGAGAAAATGTGCAAAGCGAGTAATCTTTTGTAATATGGTGGATTTCCCCATTGCAGTGAACCCAGATGTCAGTACTGAGCTGTGAATGCATACACTTTGCAGGACAGGGCTTGTCCGTAGTTTTTTATTGTTTCTGGAAGTGGTCATCTGTGTGAGCACACTTGTGCTATGAGTCAGTATTGGTTTGCTCTGGCTGTTCCTTAGCAGGTTTTCCTGTGAACAAAGGTGTGTCTGGCCCTAAGCAAATTGTGGAACTCCCTTGTGTTGGCAGCCAGGAAGGTGCAAAGGGGTTGGGAGCTTCACGTGGAGCGCACAGCTCACCACGCATCTGAGGCATCTGAAATCTCATGTTTGGTCTGCACAGGCAAATACCCTGTTGGCCTTACACAACCGAGGGCATGGCTGCAAGTTTTAATCATGCATCTAAAATCAAAGGAGAACACTAAGCACAGGGAATGTTCCATGGAAAAGGCAGCTTTAGGAGAAAAACAACATGCTCTCTTTACAGTGGGAGAAAGGAAAGCATTACAGAACAGGAGCCCCCAGTGGTACCTATGAAACAACCCTGTATCTGGCTAAAAAGGGAAAACCCAGGTTGGAAACTGTCGAGTGGATTTGAGAATTTGCTGTGTGCTTTTATTGGTAACCCATGAAAAATATTAATAAGAGACAGAGATTCTTGTGTCACATGTCCTTTTCCATATAGTTTGGGAAATCTAAATCTGAGTCTTGTTTCTCCACTGAATTTCCCCTGTGATCTTGGAAAAGTCCCTTAATTCCTCCATGGAAAGTCTCCCACCAATTCGGTAATGAATTCCAACTCTTCAGTCTCTCATGAGAGTATTATGAGGATAAATATGTGGAAGTTTCTGTGGCACTCAAATACTAAAATAATACAAAGCTACAGAAATATATAAAGTGAATGAGAATAATTTAGGTTAATTTTTTTAAGTAATTGCTCTTTCTGGGTTTTCTTGGATATGATGGAAATGAGACTGAGAGCCATTGATGGTGAGTGATGTTTGTCCAACTGTTATTGTGAGTGTTTGAAATCCTCCCAAGTGTATACGAGGTACCGCTGTTACTTCTCTCTGTGAAAACGGTGGATCAAATTGTGCTCTCAGGTACAGCAGCTCAAGACCATTGCAAATTAAGCCATTGGAAATCAATGGGGTTGCACATTTGTAACTGAGATTGGAATTTGGCTTGGCCTTGCCTGGTGCTCTGTGTGTTAATTCTTGCATCTAAACCTGGAAGAAATGGCTTTTTTATTACAGCAGTGCTTGAAGAGACCCCAGGAAAGTAAGGTGTAAATATTAGAGGCTGCCAACAGCTAGTGGCAGTTTCGGCCTAATAAACTGGAAGTAAATAACTTGGTGATTAGCTGGAATTGGCAGGCCACTTAAACACAGCTCTGACTGGGTACATGGTTTTCCCTGTTCACACCTTAATACTATATAACAGCATGGATAGATGCCTGGAAGATATATGAGCCTCAGCAGAACTTGTTCTGAATCTACCTTGACACCTCTATTTGTGAATAATCTTAATGAAAATAACAACAAACAACAACAATATGTACTTAGCTGGAACCTTTCATCCCAAGAAGCCCAAAGCACTCCTAATTTGAAGAGCAGGCAGACAATAAAAAATAAAATACGAGTCATTACTGCAAGGATAGCTTTGTAGCTCAAATGCAGAACTGGGAAACAAGTGGAACTGGGGCTTCTTGCTGCTGTCCCCATCAGTCAGTCCTGCTGTGAAAGTGGTCAGCTGCCTTTCCCCTGGTGTGTTGCTGTGGTGGGGATGTGTAAGGGCTAATAATATGAG